TAGATAAAATAGTCTAACAGATTAATATAAGGTAACATGTATCTATTCATGTTTTCATGCCACGCTAGCAATTTCACATAATCCCTTATTGTTTTAATTGCATTTCAATTCTTATCCATGAAATAACAATTATGCCTTTATACAATGCATGTATTTAAAACACAGTCATAATTAATAATTCATCACACCCTCAAAATCATATCACAAGTCATGCAATAAAATCAATATTATCTTTTATATTTTTCTAGAGATGTCTTTTAAAATGTGTAAGAAAATACTGAATCCCTTACTGATTACCGACGACTCTTTGTAAGCTAGTTTCCCTTTCCTTCTCTTTTCTTTCTTTCTCTCTCTAATTTTCTCTCTCTAAAATTTCGATCTTGAGGGTGAAAATGGGTGGGAAGAAGGGTGGATAAGGCCCTTATTTATAGAAAAAATAATAATTTGATTTGTAATCAGTGTCACAATTTTGTGAAGAGAGATAAAATGATGACATCATCATTACATCATCCAAGTTAGCTTGCCAAAGAAGAGGCACGACTCCCAAGAGCTCGAGGCAGCGCATGCATTATCCAACTCTATCGTGCGACAGGTTAGGCCTAGCGTGCGTGCAAGCTACTATGCGTGCCTGGACAACGATTGACAAGCACGTAGGGTGGGGTCTGCGCGCGCACAAGCCGTCCTTCACTGTTGCGTTGCACAAGCGCATACGGAGCCTCGTGCCTGACACAACACATCTGCGTTTGGGATCCACGCGCTGGGTGTGCGCTGAGCCGCGCGCTCGACGTGTGCATCTGTGTGTGAGATTCCTGCAACATTCCACTCCCCTTTTTTTTGTTTTAATATTATAAAATAAAATAATATAATATAATTTTTGATAATATTTGAAAATAAGAAAAAGTAATAGAAATTCAAAATAAAATAATATTACTTATGTAATAAAATGAAGTATTAATACCACATGAAGCGCGAAGTTGCGAGGTGTCGTACATTTCCACTTTAATATATTGTACATGCGTCTTTTACTACCATATCAAAAATACCGCCATATGGGGTTTCTAATTTTCTCTTTGTAGTGGTGGTTTTGCAATAGCACAATTTTGGCAACAATTTTCAAAATTGCCATTAAAAAACAGTAGAATTAATTCAATTTATCTAATATATTTTTTAACTAATTTCTAATTTTATATTAAATATTCCAATAAGGACCTTTAATATATTCAAATCTTTTAAATTCATGCTTTTAAAAGATAACAAAGATATATCATCATATCTGTAAAAAAGCTATATATGAAAAAAATATATTAATAATTGTGTCATACTCAATAATATCTTACAAACATATGTATATACAAATTAATTTATATAAATGCATAATTTGATATATCTTTCATTTTCAAAACATACTATAAATATACATATACAAGTCAGTTCCTATCAATTTATAATGTTAGTTTATCTTTTATTGATGGACTATCATTCTAATTAACTTGTTAATAAACTAAAAATATATATATATATATATATGTTATTACTTCAAGTAAAATCTAATATAAAACTATTAAAAATAGATTTGATTAACTTTACTTCAAAATACATCTAACTTGGTGCTAAGTATAAAGGTGGGAAGATAAAGTTTGGATTACTTGCAAAACATACCAAAAGTTGGTTTTTAGATCGGGGAGTTCTTCTTTCATTGTTTTCATTCTTCAAACTGATAATCATCGTATCGTTAATTTGACGAGCTCTATCAACATCATCTTGTAACCCATTGAATCCAGAACCAATAGAAGTTTGGGCCACATAAGAAAATGAAAACCAGTTCAGTCAACCTGGATATTTTACTTTCTTAAAAGGAAAATTATACAATTTAACTCCTTAAATTAAAAATCTTATCATGTTTTTACATACGTTGGAATATTTAATATATATGAACATGTAATATTTTGGACCTTCTAGGCAATAACTCCCCTGACCTTCCTAGTCTTCAATTCTGATGATCATCATAAAGTTAGAAAGTAGGCATGATCATCATGAAGAAGAAAATATAAAAATGTTCTGGACTTTTCTGTGCCTCGTCATCAAAGATAAGCATTAGTGTTTTTGGCTCATGGAAACGTGAAACCTCCACCTCCAACCCCATCAGCCTGTGCTGCACCTCCTACTGGTGGGTTAATAGCAATCCAGAGCAATGAAAGTGTAATGGCAATAAGACCAGACCAAACAAAAACAATGGTGGGTGTCTTACTCCTCCTCCCCATCAAACCCTTTGCAAAAGGATATAAATGAGCCAACACCCAGAAACTAAAAAAAGCTCCTCCCACAAATTTACTCCACTGTGGAGATGTCTGGTAAACTGTCCTAGAAAAAGCCACAGCAATAGCTATTATATTAATCATGGCGATAACAATTGGAGGGATCATTAATGAAGACCACTTTACGATATACAAGTCTGCATATATATCATCGTTGTCTTCTCCTGTGGACTTTGAAGTCAATGTGAAGGAAATTTCAATCCCAGCAATGACTTTGAGAATACCTTGCACAACTGCATATAAGTGAGCGCTTGTTCCAGAGATAAGCCACCATTGTTCATTTCTCCACCATTCTTCCAGTCCTATACCAGACCATTTGACCTCCAGTAATGCTAACCCAATAAGGCAAATAGTGATTGTTAGTAGGTAAACTAAAAATGAAATGCTTAGGGTTTTCACAATGAAGTGACCGGAGAGAAGTGAAAGCGCAGGTAGAAAGCAATAGACGATGAGAAATAAGGAGGTGAAAGGGTAGATTCCGACGTTGAGATAAGCCAGACGTTGAAGTAACTTCAAGCGTTTCGAAGCAAGCAAAGCGTTGTTTCTTGAAAAAAATATTTCCACAGAGCCTGTTGCCCATCTGAGCACTTGGTGAAGACGATCGGTCAGATTAATCGGAGCTGAGCCACGGAAGGCATCACGTTTGGTGATGCAATAAACTGATCGCCAACCGCGGTTGTGCATACGGTAACCCGTCACCACATCTTCTGTCACAGAACCGTAAATCCAGCCCACTCTATCACCCCATTCAGTCTTGTCTTCGTACCTGTTAATGAAAAATTATAATTTATTTTATTTATTAATTTAAAATTAAATAAAATTTATTTTTTAAATAAATTTAATTTATAATTTTTTTTAAAAAATATTTAATTTATATTTATTTTTTAAATATCATATAATTAGTAATAATTTATTTTTAAGAGATTAACTATCATGTTTATTTTTTAAATATAATTTATTTATATATAATAGTATTTTAAAACATATTAAATTATTAATTTTGTGGAGTCAATGAAAACAGTAGCTACTAAATTTTGGGAAAAGTTTTTAGCAAAATTGGATATTTCTTTTACTTTCTTGTTCTTGAATTAAAGCGTACTAACCAACAAGAAATGACAGAAACAGCTTCAGCGACTGTAGTGGCGTCAAGGGGATCACGGGGGACCCTGAGAGCTCCAGGAGGTCGTCCATACTTAACTGCAGGATGATCTGCTAAAGGGCGACCTTGGAACTCTGCAATGGGTATAGATTCAGCTAGCATTGTTGAATTTCCAAATCGCTTAGGTAGCTGATTCACATCAAGATCAGGATCGAAGTCGCTAGTCGTCAGTGCTTCTGTCTCTGCGTCTTTTCTTTGCAGTAGCTTGTCTGGATTTGGTGGGTCAAACCCGTATAGTGCAAAACGTCTGAACATGCAGCCAGTTCCCACATAAACTGGACCCTGATGAGAAAACCATGTTTTGTTTCAAGCTATTATTATCAAATTAAGTTACAGCAGATGAAGTATATATATTAGATTTTTACCATCCACTCCTCTACAAAAGTTAGGAGTTCTATATATCACCTATTAATGAATATACGAATTTCTGTTAAAAAAAGGTTATACCTGTACACCATCAAGGGCTCGCATGTTGCCATCAAAGAAAACAGTATTGTTATTGGCATATCTATCAGAAGGGTCAATGCCTTCAAATCTTTGTGGGAATTGAATATAGCAGATATCTTCCCCCACCTCTATCCATCATAAAGCACATTCCTTCACGAACAGCTTTGCAGTTGAAAATGTAGTGATCACAGTCAAGATTGAGAATGAATGGGCCATTGGATAATATTGCCGAAGCTCGAACCAGACAATTCATGGCACCAGCTTTCTTGTTATGATCATAACCTGGACGTTTCTCTCGCGAGACATATACAAACATGGGCAACCGGGTATCTACTTCCGAAAGATCTATGAGCTTCTCATCAGCAGTTCCCAGCAAGGGATCAGTGCTTGGTGGCTTCAACATCACCTGTACGTCAATCATTTGATTCATCAAACTTAAATTAATAGCTTGAAACGTAAATTATAATAAGGATGTTGCACCTGGAGAATTCCAGCATGATCGCCTTTTGAATGATCGCGAGTAGGACTAGCCCATGTTCCAGGCCAGTGAGTGCCATCCGCCATCCACGTAGCCTTGTTGACCTTCATTGGATCCATTGGATCAGCACCACTCTCTCTCATGTGCTTTAACATCTTCATTTCCTCTCTTGCGATGAAGGCATCTGATCTTCTCCTAATTGAATCAGGAAGGCCATTGATTCTAACCTTGAACTCATCATACTCCCTCTTTATCCTTCTCCTGTCCTTCACAAAATCAGACCTGCTCTTGTTCTTGGTCGGGTCTACCTTCAAGCTGAAATATGTGTCAGGGTTCCTTGGTTCAATATCATGCTTCCGACAAAATGGAACCCACAAATCCGCAAAGCTGGCAGCCTCAGCCATTGCCTCGAATGTTAGTAGAGCACCACCATCATCAGAAACATAACATGCCACCTTCTCTACAGGGTAATCAACTGCTAGAATAGAAAGAATCGTATTTGCAGTGACAAGTGGAGGTTCTTTCTCAGGATCAGCTGTCGATACAAACAAATCAACTCCAGGGAGATCAGATCTCCCAGTAGGATTGGACGGTGATGGCAAATCGAATTTATCGCGTAGAAGCGGAAGATCTGTAGATCGGTTAACTGGGCAGAGCTTAGGAATTTGATCGAGGATCCAAGAGAAAGCAAACCATACCTCACACACCACTGACATAAGCCACAACCATACGGCTTCATCATTTGGATTTCTAAGTCTCCAAGCCAAGAAGAAGCATAACACAACCAACCGGATAACAATCAGCAACCTGGGATAAACACTATCAGTTATTGAAGATACATACATATATATATATATATAAATTGTCAACTTTCAATTTCAATTTCATGTTTCATAAACATAAAGTTGAATCTTCGTGAGTCCATTTTCATGCCTGTAAGGGCTGATGACGGCAGCTGGTATTGGAAGTCTCCTACTGAGAGGTCTCCAAGGCTTATCTGCGTTGTCCATGATTGTTCCTTGCAACCCATCACTCCCATCATCATCATACATATCATCTTGAGGTCGAAAAGCATTACCATAGCCGTAAGTTCCTTTAGTCTCAAACAGCCACCTGTTGTGATCAAAATCCCCAGTTTGGTTCCTCTTCATCATGGACATGTTATTGTTATCCCCTTTACCTGGAGCCGGCAATGGCAGAGCGCCACCAGAAAAATCATTAACATCATCATCATCAAAATCTCCAACTTTGTATGGCTCTTTGCAACCTGGACACAAACCAGTGTCTTTCTGTGCATCAAGATAGCAATCTCTGCAAATCTTGAACCTGGCCAAACCATGTTCATAATTTGTAACTACATTATCATTTCATCAATTACATGCTACTTTTACTTTTAAAATTATATGTCTATATATATGTATTTCATACCTGCATTCACAAGGGATTACATCTTTTCCTCTCTCATCCTTCATTACCTTGCCATCACAAGCAGGCATAGCACATGATGAGCCCTTGGCTCCAGCCATCTGAGGATGAGTTACCTCTGAGTCAATCACCTTATCCATGAGATGAGCCCGTGTTACACTATTGAATCCACCGGTAAAGAGAGAATTAGAAACATATTGCTCTTCAGCTTTGGTGGCGATATTCGTGTCCATGGGTTGATTGTCCGGTGTGGGAGGAATATGTACTGTATAATTTGTATAATCTCCAGATAACTCTCCAGACATGTCAATATCTTCCCTCGACAAACTAACATACCTCCCACTTGATGTTCGCCTTGCAAATTTCACAGTTTGGCCACTGGAGTTTCGAGCAGGTTGAGAATTATTAGAACCTCCAGGGTTGCGTATTCCTTTCTTAGATGGTTGAGAGTTTAGGGAAGCCATTGTCTGATTTCCTAGATCTTCTAAATGTTCTTTCTAGCTCGGCCCGGTATCAAGTCTTCATAGGTTTCCTAATTGACTTTATTATACAATATTTACATCTAGAAAGCAAGACTGCATCATCACAATGGAATATGGCGTAGCCTTCAATTCGGTTTTCAAGGAGATAATCATTTGTATAGTTGGAGAGTTTGGCCTTCTAATTCATTTCAGAACTTTTTGATAGCATAATGGTGGTTTGGAAGGCGACAATGAAAAAATAGAGTAACTGGTAAAAAAGTTAGAATTTTGATTGGAGAGAGAGAGAGAGAGAGAGAGAGAGAGCAAGATAGAGTTATGGAAGAAGGGTTACAAAGATGGAATTGATGGTGAGAGACAAAGTCCAAGATCAGGCTTTTTTTGGTGGATTGTTTTGCGAGTTTGAAGGGGAGATATATATATATATATATACACACATATATATCCTTTTTTGAGAGGAGAGATGAGAGCATTATTTTAAGAGCAAATTATTAATACCATTTAGCTTTTTTTAAATAAAAAATAAAAATAAAAAATAATTTCATAGCTTTATATTGACGGAAATGTTGGAGATATAACAGAAAATATGAATTCAATAGATTGTTCTTACAATTCCATAAATAGACAACCACAACTTTCTTTCTTCATTACTTTTATTCTTAATAAAACTCCATTCTTTTCCCAAAGGTATTCAACTTCTTTTTCTGATTTTTTGTTTTCCCATTCCTAAATTCTCACAAAAAGAAGAAAAAGCTCATTTGTAGTATTGATAAATTAATTAGTCATGGTATCATTACTATAATGTTACGGACTAAAATATTGTAAATACTAAAAAGAACATTAATTTTAATCCTAGGTATTATATTATTTCTTAAACTGATCATATTCACTAAAACACTTAAACCGTAATTACATATATAATGTATTACACATAAGGTTTAAAGGAGTCTCTTGAAGAAGGAAAGAAGAGAAAAGGAGATTGGCGATACAAATATTAATATTATTTATTTTTCTTGCATTGGTAAATATTATTCATAATTTAGGCATAAATTGTCTTAAGATTCTTTAGTTTGTCTATAATAATTTTATCAATAAGTAAATTAAAAATTATATATCACCAAAAGGTTCTTGATGATACCTCCTAATTGAGATGTTTGGTGAGGGAGAATAGATTTTAAACGTATGTATTGCAAGTTTCTCATTTGAGGCACCCAAAAACATCTTTTTGACTAAGGTGATTTTTAGATATTTTATAATCATTCTAACAAACTTTAAAACAACACTAAAATCACATTCACGTTTGTTTATTTTAATTGAGAGATGCCAAAATAAAAAATTGGAGATAATTTCAAAAAAATTTCATATCAAATTTAGGAGAGTGTAGTCCTTCACATATGTTTTTTGTTTTATTTCTGGATATTTGATAGACATTCAAATAAGTTTTAAAATAAGACAAATATTACATTCAGGTTATTCTGATTGAGAGATATTATGATGAAAATTTTACAGTTTAATCATATTATTTTAAAACAATTTTAAATCAAGAAGCATATCCATTTCTCAAGTCTAGGAGATTGCAGTTCTTCACACTTGATGTTTGGGAGATTCTTTGGATGTTTTGTAGTCATTTGAATGTTTAAAACAACACTAATATGACATTCAGATTTATTCTGAGTGAGAAATACTGAGATAAAAAAAATTAGAGGTTTGATCATATTAATTTAAAATTTTTTTCAAATCAAGGAGCATATCCTTTTTTCAAGTCTAAGAGAGTGCAGTTCTTACACCTGACCTCGTGTGGTGGTTCTTAGATATTTAATAGTCGTTCGACTAAGTTTTAAAAAATGACCAAGATTACATCTATATTTATTTTTATCAAAAGATACTAAAATAAAAAATTAGAGATTTGATTATATTAATCTAGAAGAATTTTCAAGTTTAGAAGCATCTCTTTCTTAAATTGAAGGGAGTGCAAGTTCTTCATAGCTTATCTTCTGATGGTTCTTGAATAGTAGACAATTCTTCAAATAAATTTTAAAACAGCACTAAAATTATATTCATGTTTATTCTAATTAACAGATACTTATATGAAATATTAAAAGTTTAATTATACTAATATAGAAAATTTATATTTAGAAATAGATCCATTTCTTAGGTTTAAGAGATTGCGCTTCTTCACACATGACCTTCTCAATCTTTCATTAAAAAATATTATTTTACCTTTTCAGTTATTTTTTGTAATTTTTTGGACAAGTATTTTTATATAAAAATTGTCAATTTCATGAACTTATTGTTGAGGAAGTGCTAGATTTTTGTGCTTTTAGAAGCTCAAAAATTAGTCCTTTAATGTTCTATGTGAATTTCATAATTTGTGATGGGTAGGTAAAATGGTCTTCTATTTATTAATTCTTAATTATTTTTTTGTTCTTCCGAATTTACCCTTTTTAATTACAATTTTTCCCACAACAATCATATTTATTTATTCACAAAAGGACAAAATAGTACTCTTAACCAACGCAAAAATTAATTTCTAATAATTTTGAATTCATAAATTGACCTTTTTTACTAAATAAACAAATAACTATAATGTAACATTCCATAAGTGAACAAATCCAATTTCAATTTGAGGCAATATATCTTAAAGCAATTTGTTGACATTTATATTGTAAAGTTTTCTAGCATCAGCGTTTCAGCATTAGTTTTCAACACCCTAGCATTACCTCCACGTTTTTGCGTCTCCAAGTTTCTTTATTCCATCACCCCAATACCCACACCTTACATAGGGGCCTTGAGCTTTCGAAATTTTTCCTGTTCTGTTTAAAACATCTTGAGAATGGTATTTTAAGTCGAACCTTGTAATAGAAATATAATTAAACCAAATCAATACAGAAATTCATTGGAAACTAGCCAAAATCAATTAAATTCAAGTCCAATTAGTCGGACATAAAGTTGAGTTACAAAAATCTCTCACACTTAAGCATTTATAAATGCTCAAGTAACGAAAA